TTACATTTAGTCATTTAGCAGACGCTTTTATCCAAATCGACTTACAAATGAGGACAATAAAAGCAACTAACAAAAGAGCAACAAAATATTAGTGCAAGTGACAAGTCTCGGTTAGCCTAACGCAGTACACGTAGCAACACGAGTGTATATACACACATATATATACACACACACATATATATATATATATATATATATATATATATATATATAAACTTTTAATTTTAATTATATTAAGTTTTCTATTTTTATATTTAAACATTAATTTATTTAATAAGTATATTACTTAAAAGAATTTAGCATTTAAAAACTAAATTGGTTTTTGAACACCGCATGCTAAAAAAAGTTCAGCATCTTATTCGGCAATAATGAAGAGGAAGGGTGCTTGAGTTACCTCATACACTGCAGACAGGGGGGAACTGGATGGAGGGAGGGAATTTTTAACAAAAAAGAAAAGCGCTTCTTCTGGTCTCATAGACACCCGCTGTCTGATCAGGAAGCAGAGCTGACCGACTGGACGAAAAAGAGGGAGGGTGTGGAGAGAAACTCAGTCAACAGTTTCATTTCTTTCTCAAAATGAAGACAGGAATAGGGAAGTTTAGGGTCAGACAGAGTCTCAAAGAATTGAAAAGGCCTCAATATCCCAGCATAAAATTACGCAATGCTTATGGACAATCATGAGTTGAGTTGATTTCCTCTGTAAATTTACAGATGTTATTCTGTTGGGGAGCATATATAAAATAAGAGTTGTCTGTCACCTGTGAGGTCTGAAGGAACAAGGTATTTCTTTTTGTGGTGATTTTCTCAATATTTTGATTTTTTTGCACCCTCAGATTCCAGATTTTCAAATAGTTGTATCTCGGCCAAATATTGTCCTATCCTAACTAACCATATATCAATGGAAAGCTTATGAATTCAGTTTTCAGATATATCAATCTAAATTGCAAAGAATTGACACTTATTACTGGTTTTGTGATCCAGGGTCACATATATTCAAACAGAAAACTGCTATTTTAAATTGTAATAATATTTCACAATACTAAATTTTACATTGTATTTTTAATCACATAAATGCAGCCTTTGTGAGCATAAGAGACTTACAGTTGTCTGTCACCTGTGAGGTCTGAAGGAACAAGGTATTTCTTTTTGTCAAGCTCAGGAGCTCGTGACCTTGCAGCTCTCTCCACTATTATCTAAGGAGACAGACAAACAAATAAATACCCAATATAGTATTAGCTGAAATTCAGAAAATTTAAATTCAGTCATTATTTTCTCCCTCTCATATCGTTCCAAAAATGTTTTGACTGACTTTCTTTTGTGAAACATAAAAGAAGATATTTTGAGAAATGTTTGTCCATACAATAGAATTGAATTGAACAGTCACCAAAGCTGTTTGGTTACCAATATTCTTCAGAATATCTTCTTTTATGTTCTGCAGAAGAATGAAAGTCTTACAGATTTGGGATGACATGAGAGTGAGTAAATAATCACTTAATTTTCATTTCTGGCTGAAGAA